TTATTTTGAGCGCCACGGTGACAGTTCCTTGACGCGTAAAAAAATTCTTAGAAATCTTTGAATTTAAAGCAGAGGTCTTGAAAAAAATTAAAGAATTAATGAAGAAAAAATATAACGAAAATAATCACATCAGGTCCCTCTCTGCATTATCACATTACAAGCCTACCTTATCATATCACATGAATTTATAACTTTACATCAACGGTGAAAAACCTAAAAAAACATTTTACTGAATCTCTTAAGCTTAAATCAGAAAATAATAATTTATAAAACTGAGAACAAACAGTATTTGCACTTGGCAGTTTCAAAGTTTAGAATGGTCGTAAGTATGGTTCGATCCTGGTTTGTTTTTTGTTTAGTTCAAGTTCGCTACATTTCCCACCTATGCATTATATCACCCCACCATATTATATCACATCATCACACCACATATCACATCACCACATAACATAACATATAATTCACGTCAGTCACGTATGCCATTAGAATCAGATGAATAGCTGGTTACGTCAAAGAATGTACACGTTCATAAACTTCATAGTTCGTCATATGCAGCTTATTAATTTAACTATCAATATTTATCTTTTATTTAGTTATCTCGGTTGAATTTTTTTCAATATCCCATTGTGAGCCTTGTATTGTAGTGGTGTGCCTCTTGCTTACGTACAATACATCAATGTTATAAACAATAGCAACACACACACACACATACAACACACACACACTCAAATATATATATATATATATATATATGTGTGTGTGTGTGTGGTGTGTGTGTGTGTGTGTGTGTGTGTTACATGTGTGTGTTACAAACGTTACAAAGTTATAAATACTAAGTTAGCATATCAAACAGCTTAGCTTGCAAATTGCAGGCTACGTCACTCAGCGTACCTTGTCAATTACATGTACATCGTTGTTTTCATTCGTCGGCTGGTTCACTCTTCATATCTTTCATACGGATAGATGTGAATCGAGAGCTTGAAGTTTGCTAGTTTGAACGTAAAAATTATTTTTTTTACAATTGATGAAAGGTTTTGGAAAAATTCTCCCCGAAGAAATTTATTGAACATAAAAATACAATTTTTTGTTATGCAAATGTCGTAATTAGTTTTTTACAGAGTTACATTTGAAATTGTGTGTTATGTTCATGTGTACTTCAAGATAACTTTGCTTACGTGTTTATAAAATGTTTGAAACCGTTACTGTGTGTATGTATGTGTATATATTTCTGCTTGTAAGATGTGTGTTGGTGCATATTCATAACACTCGTATGCCAGTTCGTGCGTGTCTGCGTGTGCGCTTATGCCTGTGTATGTATGTGTGTTTGTTGCGATATACATGTGTTTTTGTGTGGCGTGTATGGGTGTGTAGCGTGTATGGGTGTGTGGCGTATATGGGTGTGTGGTGTGTACACGTGGCGCAGCTAAATATTTCTAACTGTTATCATAAAACTTGTTTATATTCTCCAATTCACTGATAGAAAAAAAGATTTTAGTTGCAGAAAATAATTAGATTCGTTTTAGAAGTAGCAACAACGGCAATAAAAAACAGGCAATAGAAATGGCAGTAGCAACAGCAGCAGCAACAACAACAGCTGCAACATTAGCAGCTGCAACAACAGGAGCTACAACAACAGCAACAACAACATAAAGTTAACGTGAAAGTTGCCTTATTCACAGGCGGCATCGCAATCACAATGCTAAACTCTCAGTTAATTAAGACTCTCTCTCTCTCTCCTCTCTCTCTCTCTCTCCTCTCTCTCTCTCTCTCTCTCTCTCTCTCTCTCTCTCTCTCTCTCTCTCTCTCTCTCTCTCTCTCTCTCTCTCTCTCTCTCTCTCTCTCTCTAGAAAACTGTTTCCACTTTTTGTTGTCGAAGTTGTTGTTGTTGTTGTCAGATTTATTTGGTTTATTGTTATTGTTGTATTCTATCATTATTACATAAAAAACGTGTTATCATAAATGGTGTTGTAATTGCTATTGTCGTTGTTGTTGCTGCTGCTGCTGTTGTTTTGTTAATGTTATTTAACGTTATTTGTTGTTACGTTTAAATACTACAAAAAATATAACGAACGAAATCATTAAAAAAATTTCATTATATCCGACCAAACCAAAAAGCTATCAATGATATCTTAAAGACCGGGTAAATATAACAACAAGAAAGCACCGAACTTATGGATACTTAATTAATACCAGGAAAATAAAGATACCGCAATAAACACAAAAAAAAACATTCTGTAAAAAATTTCTAAATGAACTTTTGTTGGAAAAATTTTGTTGCAAATTATTTTGCAACAATTTTTGTTTGACAAGAGAGGTAAAATATAAAGGAACAACATTTTTTCGTGTTTTGTTGCACTCTTTTGCTTGTCTTTTTTATGGAAAAAATGGTTGTTATTGAAGGATCTAATAAGCGTTGTTGTTGTTGCTGCTGTTGTTGTTGCTGCTGCTGCTGCTGTTGTTGTTGTTGCTGCTGCTGCTGTTGTTGTTGTTGTTGTTACTTCTTTTTTTGTGTTGTTTTGACATTGATGGTGTAGTTGACGTTATTTCCAATGCTAACTTAATCTTAACAAAATTTGTTTTTTCATTTGAAACTCTTTTAAATTATTTTTATCAATAAATATCCTATGCATCAGAAGTGTCCCATCAGGTGGAGTTATCTATATTTGCTAATAGACGCATTCGCAAATGTGCAAACAATTAGCTTTTTTCGTGAACCTAAGTTTTCTATAAACATGACAGATGCCACTTCGCTTACGTCATTTCCGCTAGAAAACCGGATATACTCATTCGGATAAAAAGGGAGCTAGTGATGGATGGGTGAGCGTTTGCTGGACAATTAAGTTGTTTGTTTTGCTCTGCTCGTTATTTTTTGTTGCTTCTGTTGTTTCTCTGTTATTTTTGTTTTTTGGTGCGCTTTGTTTTTTTGCAATAATTTTTTTGCTTATCTTGATTATTAAATTACTTTGACCAATTTCTACAGTTTGGTTTTGTTAATTTGGAAAAAAAAACCTAAGATTTTAAAATTAGTATGTGTGTGTGTGTGTGTGTGTGTGTGTGTGTGTGTGTGTGTGTGTGTGGTGGAGAATAGGATAGAGGTTGGAAAGCGGCAATCTACCTGTCAATTATTTCAATTCAAAATATATGGCCTGTCCAACAACGCAAGATACGGAATCGAAAAATAATTAAATTTATAACTTTTAACAAAACAAAAATAAAGTTCTTTAGAAATAAAGCAGGTTATTTTTATTTTAATGAATTCAGTTGTTCTGTCAAATTGATTATATTCTGCTTTCTATCGAAGTAGATTTTTGGCTATCTCTTAATTTATTCAAATTATGATTTCTAATTTATCCTCAGTATTATTTTTAGTTTTTAATTCGTTTTAATTTTTTTTGAACATACTTGTGGCTGCTCTACCAGCCAGCCAGCCAGCCTGCCTGCCTGCTGCAACATCAGCCAGTGTTCTACACTATCGATAGAAACGCCCACTACAACCCACTTCTTTATTTGTTTCACATTGCTGTGACATTCTTGTTTCGTTGTTTTTGGTAACTTCAGTTAAGTTATTTTCTGGCAAAGATGATTTATTTGTACTATTTTTGAAGAATTAATTATGGGCTAGGATATCTGGAGACCAGAGGAAAGCAAATTGATGAGATAATAAGAAGAATGAATATTCAACAATGGCACCAGCAGCCAGGATGGCACCGACAGAATCGACATTCCACACTTTTAAAATAGAAAATATTCTTCTTGGCTATTCTGTTATGCGCAAAAAATCCGCGCTTAAAAATTCATTCCGTCGCATCGAAGTATAAATCGGTTTATAAAAAAAATTAAATTCTCAAATTTTTTCAACTAGGTTCCTGATGAAATATAAGTGGATAAAATTTTGAAATACAAGGAAAGACAGGAAATTACAACCAAATATCTAAATATCTACATATACCTCCAAATACCGACACACAAACACACATACGCATACGTACAACCACAAAATCCATCCACAAATACCTCCAGATCATCCATCAAATTTGTTTATAGAAGCAAAATGAGAAACACCAATCAGTCATTGAAGTCACAAATAAACCGCTCAAAACTTCATCACAAACCATTTTGGACAGCCATCCCCGAAATTAACTGAAATGTAACATAATACCAAATTAGCGGAACACACAACCATGTACTGTTGCCCTACACATGTACTGCCACAACTTTTCAAAAAATTATTTTTTCTCTACACCTTTTCCTTTTTTACTAAATTCAAGAACACAAATTTTAATGAACACTACTGATTGTAATTGTTGATTGTTTTTTAAGCAACAACAAACCGTTACGAATGCATTTGTTTTAAAAATATGAAAAATTGAAATTTTCAAAAATTTTTTGAAGTTGATGACTTTGAAGTTGTTCACACCAGAGTTAATTTGAAAGTTTTAAAATTATTGAGTAAATCACTTTTCTTAAACTGTTCAGACGTTCATTTGACTACTAACAACGTATCTTATTTTACTTTATATTCCATTTTCGTCACTTAATCATTCATTAACTCTTCAATTTAACAATTTTCCGTGTCGACAAATTTTTTATTTTCTTACAGTTTGATTTGTATAAAAAAAAATGACAAAAATAATGTGGGGTGGGGTCACTACCATGGTCAAACATGTGCCACGTCTTTAACCCCTCTTTCACTCACTCTCTCTCTCTCTCTTTCTCTTTTTCTCATTTTTTTCTGTCTATCTTTTTCTATTTTTTTTTTCTTTCTTTCTTCCTTTCTTCTGTATTTTTTTCATTTCCTCATATTTCTTGTCGTTACTATTTATTTATTTATTACATCCATTTAGATAATTTTTGTTATTTTTTCATTATTTAACTCCAGAATATTTTCTCATACACTCTCTTTAGGTGACATCAAGTTGACGAGTGACGTTTTGTATGCTTATATTTTTATTTCAAACAATATCTAAACTTTAAGAAAAATGTTAACAAATTGCCTACTGCTATCCACTGTACTCATCTTCATATCTCATTTCAGAAATTTTTGATTCTGTCTCTCGCTCTTTCTTCATTTTTCTCTCCTCTCTATTTTTTTCTTTCTCTCTTTCAGGACAATGATGATGATGTGGTGACGTTGAGAATGATGATTCAGACGACGTTGATGATAAAGTTGTTATAAAAAAATATTTTGAGTGTAAATTGCCTGCACACAACACAACGTATGTATGTATGTATGTATGTATGTATGTATGTATGTATGTATGTATGTATGTATGTATGTATGTATGTATGTATGTATGTATGTATGTATGTATGTATGTATGTATGTATGTATGTATGTATATATGTATGTATGTATGTATGTATGTATGTATGTATGTATGTATGTATGTATGTATGTATGTATGTATGTATGTATGTATGTATGTATGTATGTATGTATGTATGTATGTTAAAACCAAAACATGATGAGTAACACTGAACCGTCAAACATCAAGTAACAAATGGATTAACACTTTGATTTGTCGTTAATTGCACATGTCGGCATTCAGTTTGATATTTTCAAGCACATAGACACGCAGGAACCGCTGCAACAAGCACGAAATGTGGTTAGTTGCGAAAAACAGTTCCCTGCTGTCGCCTGATCTGACGCTGATCATTTTACATATTGCCTTAAGAATTTTAAGGGTGTTGGGGTCCATCGGGCCGAGAACTTCGATACATATTGGCAAGAATTCCATCGAGGGGAGGGCGTTCCCATATTTTTTCTTTTTCATGTATGTATGTATGTATGTATGTATGTATGTATGTATGTATGTATGTATGTATGTATGTATGTATGTATGTATGTATGTATGTATGTATGTATGTATGTATAAATTTTCTGAAGGGACACAAAAGCTGTCGGGTTTAATTACGCTCACGATAATAATTTTAATTATGTTTAAAATTATGTTTAATAAATTTAATTTATGCGCTTAACCATCCTCGCTTAATGTACCTTTCAAAAAGAAGCCACATTAATTGATTTATTTTGTCGTCGTGTGTTTGTGTGCTTGTGTGTGAGTGTGTGGGTATGTATGTTTGTACGTATGTGTGTATGTATGTTTCTATGTACGTACGTACGTATGTGTGTATGTATGTACGTACGTACGTATGTGTGTATGTTCGTATGTATTGACATCAGTTATAGTTTTTGTCAGTTTCTCTAATACGGTAGACATCTCGCCCGGAATAAATAAAACACAAATTTGCATGTCATCTGCGTACCCATGGCAATAATAACCTCATTTATTCAGTAATTCCAGTATCTCTGCAACGTACAAATTAAAGAGAATCGGTCGAAAAACGGATCCTTGAGGTACATCTGTTTCACTGGTCCCATGAGACCATCTGAGTAAGAAATCTGCTGAGTCCGACCAGTAAAAATGATTTGAACCACTTTAACGCAATCTTCTTTAGACCGTAACAATATTTCAGTCTGTCCAACAGGATTTTGTGATTCACAGTATCCAACGCCAAACTCATGTCCTGGAATGTCAACAAAGACCCAAATAGCATTTTTACTATTCACTCATTCATTCATTCATTCATTCATCCATTCATTTATTCATCCGTTAAGATAATTTCATTGTTTGCTTATTAATTAATTGTCATCCATTCAGCCATTATTTTGAAAAAGATTCATTCAATCAATCAATCATTTATTCAACTAATTATTTTAATCATTTCCATTTAATATATTTTTCTTCATTTTTCATTCTTTTACTTCTTCAGTCTTCCATTCATTCATCAATGGTGTTGATAGTGACGCAGTGATTAAGATGATGATATGATGATGATGATGGCGGTAGTGGTGGTGGTGGCGGTGGTAGTGGTGAAATTATGATGATTAATGGATAAATAAAGTACTGATGATGACGATGATGATGACGAAAAGAGACGGCCATAAATTGCTGAGGATCAAGAAGTGGTGTTGATAATGATGATGACGATGGCGATGATCGACAAGGATGATGATGACCATGATGATGACGATGGCGATGGTAAAATGATGATGACAAAGTGATGATATCGTTGTTTGGCGGTCTTAATGAGTTCGTGACATTTCGGTAACTCTTTGATTTGGCGGTATCACCTTGCTATTTTATTGTCGCATGTCTCCAATGTGCGTATGTCTGTGCGTGTGTATATATGCGTCCGTGTTTTTATTTGTCTGTCTGTGTTTTTACTTGTTTGTCTGTCTGTCTACTTGTCTGTTTGTCTGTCTGTTTGTCTGTCTGTTTGTCTGTCTGTCTGTTTCTACTGAAGTGGGCATTTGGAATTGTATGTGCGTGCGTGGGAAGCAATTTTATACAAGTTTGCGTTTGTGATTGCGCTTTCTTTTGGTTCCATATTTTTTTATGGACTCTAATTTGTTCTTCATCACTGCAGGGCTATAAAAACAGAAAATAATTGCACTGGTGCATGTTCACAAATATGTAAACATCTGTTTGTGCGGTACGTTGAAAACCATATACACAGGCACGCACAAACACCTTCACCCACGTACACATACTCACGTACAAGCAAACATACAAATATTTACACACAAGCGCGTACAAGCACACACACACACACACACGCTAGCATACTAATTCGTGTTTGACAAACGATTTTCATCAAAGCCATAAGCCGGAAGCCTTAGGCGTCGGGTGACTTTGGATGGCGCATGGACCAACATTTTTGCATTTGCTCACTTCTATATTTATTCAGTTGCTTTTTAATTTTGCAAAACTTTGTAACTCATTTGTAACATATTTGACGAATTTAAAGTCATCTTGCTAAAATAAGGAATGAATTTGATGGTGCAATTGTATCAGTAATGTTGGTTTGTTATTAGCAGTAGTAGTAGATGTGTTGTTTGGTGGTTATAGACACATTTCTTGCGGTCACTGTCGTTGCAGATTACTTTTGAAAGCACTTTTGCCAATAAACAGCATGTTATGTGGCGGTATGGCTTTATACGATGATGGTTTCATGGTTGTTATTTCAAATTTTATTAGCATTGCTAACACGGCTTGGTCAGTTTGAGCAATACCGGTTTTTGTGATTGAATTTATTTGCATAAAAATGAGTCATTATATAACTTTGAAAAATTTTATGAAATGTTTTTAAAATAAATCAAAATTTGAACTGTTAATTTCAAATGGATGGCAAATTAAAGTAAATTAGTTGACCATGATCAAAATAGGATGGTTGAAGTGTGATGTCCAAATACCCTGATAAATACATTCTATACAGAATTCAACATCTTACTTTTAAAATTCTGGTAAAATGACATTCAAAAATATATTAAAAAATTCGAATTAAAAAGGAAATTGAATTAAAATTATAAACATGGAAGATGAACCGGCCGTTGTAAACACGCAACCACTACTACTCTTCCTCTGAGATATCATATACACAACGGAGCCTTACACGCTACAATGTCTGTGTGTGTGTTTATATGTGTGTTTATATGTGTGTATCTGTATGTGTATGTCTGTGTGTGCAGTGTGTATGTCTGTTTGTATGTAGGTATGTATTTATGTATGTGTGTTTGTTTGTTTTCAACAACGTTGAATTAAAAATCGAGCGAAACAAAACAAAGAAGACCAAAAACGAGACGAGACGAAACTGCCTATTCTATCATCAATCTGTCTTTTTGTTTCGACGCTTTTAAAGCATTTCCTTTTTCACTGCTTACCCCCATTCAATTTTGTTCACTGCTGGCATATAATAAGTGTTTGTTTGTTCTTTAATTTAATAAGTAAACACAATTTAAACTACTACATTTTTTCCTTTATCTTTGTGTGTATGTTTCTATGTACTGTATACTTGTATCTTGTATACCCACACATGTGTATGAGTCTGTGAAGAGTTTTTGTATGCCAGGAGTTTTCGAATTTTTTATTATTCTTGCTGTGACAGAATAATTACATTTAAAAGTTTGAAACATTAAAGTAAAACAAAGTGTTTTTTTATTTGTTTTTGCAGTTTTTGTGCGTCTCTTTTTTTCATTTCAAGTTGTTTTAATTTTTACGTGTCAGTACATTTGTATGATTGTCTATCTAACTACCTTGAAACTGACTCTTAATTAATTAATGTTATAAATTTTGGTCAATTGATTATTATTAAATTACCGTCCATTGTAAATTTAATTATATTAACTATGTTATCGATTCTAATTAACGATAAATTGTTAATAAATTTTTTTCGGGGTAATAGTCTTTTTTACATATTTTGAAAAAATATAGGAACAATAGTAAATAAAACTAACCATTGAGGAAAGCCCAACAGATTTTCTAATCTTAATTTATTCTTTTTTTCTTTGGCTCTCCATACTTTCTTTCATTTACTCAACCTAGCGGAAGTCGACGATAATAACAATTATTAATTGTTCATTCGGATTAACCTGACGTCAAATCTTTTCCGCGGCTTTCCATGAAACAGGCCTGACGTCACGTCACGATCAAACGGTGGCCAAAAAAAATCTAAATAGTTAATTTATAGCAGCACGATTTCCGGTACGAATTAGTTTTAGGGTCGGTGCTTGTTTCTAATGTTGATATAAATTTGAAAGAAGAAAAAGCAACAATGATAATAATGAAGAGTAGTAGTTGATAAATAGTAATAATAGAAGAATTAGAATTAGTAGTGATTTCGATGTTTTGCTGGCGTGAATGTTTTTGAATTAATTTTTCATATAACAACTAATCCAGTGTCAAAAATATATACCCAAAATACAAAGCATTTCATTTCATTGCAATTCACTCAACCATTTTAACCATTTCAATACAATCAATGCCTTGCATGTTTGTGTGGCACAATGATCCGATGGTTAATGTGCCAAATTCATTTTAACAATATAATATATTGTATAAGATCAAATAATAAAATAAAATTATTAATTCTAATATAACCATAGAAGAAGAAAATCTTAATTGTTGAATAATGTTAAAATTGTTTCTGCCATTTGTTGGGAAAATGGGTCAAGAATATTCTAGAATATTTAAGAGTTAATTGGCAATTTTTCGAGATTCAAAATAAAACTTTTAAATAAAATTTTCGATATATTAACAACATTTAATATGAAGGTTAAGAACAATGTGAAGAATGTTAAGTGCTATTAAATGAATTAGATGGAAAGAAATACAATAATAAAATGACTATAAATACATGCTGTTTGTTGTGTGCCTGTGTGTGCGTAAGTGCGTGTGTATGTGTGTGTGTGTGTTTGTGCTTGTGTTAAAGCAGGAACAATCACATCTTTACACACACGACTGATATGATGTTTAATTTTTTTCAATTCTCTTTTATTCGTTTGTATATAAGGGCGGTGTGTACGTGATTTACCGTTGAAAGCCAACTTTTTGCTTGAGTAATTGTTCATTTCATGTCTTTGCGTTCGCCCTACATCAATCTTTCCAACTTTCTGCTCCTTGCTGAGCTTTCATTTTTTCCACGTTCCTTTAATCCATTTAACGATGTCATTCGTTAATTCGTTTTTTAATTTTTTGTTTGATTGCTTGTTTGTCTGTCTGCCTGTTTGTTTGTTTGTTTGCTTGTATTTTTGTTTATCTGCTTGTTTTTAGATGGTTTTCCGGTTCATCCTTATCGTTTATTTGAGTTCGGCTCTTTTATTGATGACTCATGTGTGAAATGAAAATTGTTTCTCCATTACATGGTCACGTGGGTAATCGAATTACCTGTTACACATGTGCATTCATTTTTCTATGCTACACTCTCCTCCTAT